TTTGTTGATTAGTCTAAGATTATGTGTTAAAGTTACTCCATCATTCTTCGTCAATCGTCCAAATATATTTAAGGAACTACTACTCGGTAAAATAGTTAAATCTTGATTTTGAACTACAATTCGAATTTCATTACTATTGTTAAAAGATGACGTTGCATATGGTTGATGACTATGAATCTCATAATTTGCTATGGATTCATCAAATGTCACTGGAACTGGAATATTGAGAATTTCCTCCATCTTTCTTCTTATAACAACGACACAAAATAAATAGATAGAATTTTTCAACTCCCTTCTTATTCTTTCTTTTCTTTACTTTTGATGTCTGATTTTCAAACCAAGTTGCTTCAAAAATAGTTGATTCTGAGGTGTTAACACCTTGTGAGTTAATTCACACTGATCTTCTTTGCACATGTTGATTGATTTTTATAGCTACCACCAAATTTTCTTTTTTTATGATTGTAAATAATTCCCATTACACTGATTTTAAGTTCATAACTGCCTGTTAGTATATATATAGGATCAAAAAAATTTGTATAAAACTTATTGCATCCTTTATCAATGTTTGGAATAGTGTTATATGTAAGTAGATCAACAAGACCAAGTACATAATTTTTATTAGATGTGAGTTCAATTGGTGGGAAGAATGAAGCTTCCAGAACTGAAGAGTTCCCACTTAACGTAAAAGTAAATCAATCATTCATGTTGGATATCTACTTTCATACTGAAGTATACAAATGTTTACACAGTCTTATATAGACTGAAACTGTTCTTCACATTAAGTTGATTACATAGAAATTTAAGACACAAGTGACTGCATATATACGTATCAAAATCTTGATATCTTTTATGATTATATTTTATACAGCTACCAACACCTAGGTAAACAATGAGATCCAATGGTGGTGAAAGATTACCAAAGCTGTCAAAGTATTCAGTTTCATTGTTCACCTTTTTATATGCACCCCAATGAGTTCCAGGACCTTCTTTATTATCAAGATTTATTATTGCTGATTCATATTGAAATGGTCCTCCTATGGCTAATTCATTTCTCATAAAGACTCCTCTAAAATATGGTATTTTTAAACTTTTAGAATATTTTAGAAGATCATAATCACTTAATGCACGTTGAGGTAGCTTCAATATTAGTTTTTTGACATTTTTTTCTTATTATTTCATCCTTTGCCTTTGTAAGGTTGCATATAAAGGCCAATTCCTTGTTGATATGGTTTCATGTATAAACCTTTTTCTAAAGCAATGGATTCCATGATATAATTATGTCGTTGAGCTTCTGAAAGTTCTTTCTTAGCAACATTAGCTTCATTTACAGCTTTCACTATACCGATAATTCCACCACTAAGCGCCCCTAAAGCACTTAGTCTAGCAAAAATTGGTACAAGAGGTAAAATACGTCCTACTTTTGAGGGTATAGAAAGAATTCGAGGTGATATAATCTTAGATTTACCGCCATACTGTTTTATAGCCTTTCTTGCACCAATCATAGCAGTTCTAATTGTATCTAAAGAGTTTTTATTAGATTTCATAGACTTTTTAGCAGCGTTAACAATCTTCTTTAAAGTAACATGTTTTTTAGAAACAACCTTCTTTCTCTTCTTCTTTGATTTCTTTTTCTTAATCTTTTTATATTTTTTATTAACTTTTATCCCCATCCCAAATTTAGACTTGGCTTTCATTATATTAGTTACAGCTAATGCAACTGCTTTTTCACTTAATTTAGCGTCTTTAGAAACGACTCGTTCCCACGCTTTCTCAGCAAGTATTTTATCTGCAGAATTTCTTATAGCCACGTCTTTATCTTTTGAATAAGCTATATCATGATCTTTACAAGCTGCATCTAAAGGGTTTATACCAGAATCACCACGTGCAAGACGTTTTGCCAACTTCGTACCAGGTCCACAATATTGATACCCCGGGAAATGAAACTCGAATGGTAATTTATTGATTATAGTATTGAGAAAACCTTGACCACGACAAGAAATTTTTTTATTATTCTTTTTCACTTTATCATGAGTAATCATTCCTCACTCTACTATGGTTCACAACCGACTGATTGGAGACAGCTATATAAACGCTATATTTATACCTATACCTTCAGTTGATTTCAAGATGCGGTTTAATGTACAAGATGTTCAGCTCCCAATAGTGAATGTTGACAACCTTCTTCCAAACAAGGATGATGGTGTAAAACGTCATGGATGTCTATTTTCAAACAGCATTCGTGCAGCTTTTTGTGGACCATTAAATTGTGGAAAGACAAATGCTCTTTTGTCTATAATAATACATCTGAATGGTTTAAGCTTTGAAAATATATATTTATATTCAAAGTCTTTACGACAACCAAAATATCAATTTTTAGAAAAAGTTCTCAGTAAAGTTGATGGTATTAAATACTTTCCATTTAGAGAACATGAAGAAGTGGTTTCACCTAAAGACGCTAAACCAAATTTAGTATTTATTTTTGATGATATTGCTTGCGAGAAGCAAGACAATGTAAGAGCATTTTTTGGCATGGGTAGGCATGTCAACGTTGACAGTTTCTATCTATGTCAGACATATGCCCACATTCCCAAACATCTTGTTAGAGATAATATTAACTTACTAGTACTTTTTAAGCAAGATGAGAGAAACCTTAAGCATGTTTATAATGATCATGTAAATACAGATATGACTTACAATCGATTTCGTGATTTATGCTCAACATGTTGGAATTCTGATAGATATGGGTTTGTTGTTATAGACAAAGACCGAAATTTAAATGAAGGAAGATATAGAAAAGGTTTCGATTGCTTTATTCAGTTATAAGTATCTATTGGTTTACAACTTTCATTAGTATAATTTTAGACATCAATATATAAACATGTTTCGGAAAGAACGAGAAACGCTTCATGAAATAGCAAAAGCAAGTGATGCTATACGCAAGAAACATCGTATACTTGAAAGCGGTAGAGAGACTGCAGAAAATATATTGAAAGAAACTTTTCAACCATTAGTTACTCCATTGGAGAAATTGGTAAATAGAAATTATAATCCAATCAAGAGTGAAAATGTATCAAAAATAAAAAAGGAAGAAGAAAAAGACTTTGAAACAACATTCAAGACTGCTGTTAGTGATGATGAACCATTTGATATACCTGCATATAATAACTATACATTTTATGATCCTATATCTGAAGTAGAACATTTTCAAAATTTAAATAGTGAAAACATAATTGACAACTTATCAAATCAAGAGTACCAAGATGTTATACATGAGCAAAACGATAGGTTAAATGATAATTTAACAGTTCAAGAGTCTTATGAGCAGAATAATATACAACAACAACAAGATTCCGATAAATTAACAAATAAATTCATAAGATTGTTGAATCAAAATAAAAAACAATATTTGGATATGGTTTACGGAGTGCGGAAAGTTAAAGATAGAGGTTTCATGATAGGTAATACAGAAATTAATTTTGATGGTCCTCTCATAGACTTAGGTGGAAAGAAAAAATATACTAAAACAGATGGATTACTAGAACTTTTATTTAGAGAAAAACTTAATGAAGATTCTATAAGTTCAGATGATTTAGCCAACTATAAAGAAATATTACAAGCTACTAATGCACATAGAAGGAATTATAGTCCAAATAAACCTATTCGTACAAACAATAGTTTTAAATATACAAATGTTATTGCAAAGCTTTATTAGAAAACTGGAGAATCTTTACAGAAAAAGAATTTATTACCGCAAACTATGTTAGTGAAAAAAGAATTATATTCAGACTACATCTACTGGGATGATCCAAATGAACTTGTTGATCGTTTACGATTACTTATAGCATCACGAGAAGCTGGAAATCCAAGTCATAATAATGAAATTATGAGTATTATTGAAGAATTACGTGAAAGTAAAATTACACAGTGCAACAGAATTTCACTTTTTTATTATGTCTGGGATCGCATAGGGTGATTTTTATAGGTTTTTTGATGCTGAATGCGAATCCGTAATCAGAATTGTTCCATCACCCTAGGTTTTCGAAAAATTTGACCTTGAAAATTGAAAAAAGGACGTTTTTGGGATGCTTTTCGGTTTTTTATCAGGGTACAAAAATTTTTTCTAAGGTTTTCATGATATGCGTACGAAAGCTCACATCATCCTCAACAATCTCTAATTTGAACATTTTAAAAATATCTATTTTTCGATGAGTTATCTTTGTTTTTATTAAATTATTGTTAAAGAATTTGAAATGATAAAAAAAAACAATGGTTAATTTATTTTTGATTTTTCTAAGAATGTAATAGTTTCTTTAATGAATCATTGGTTCCTGCTTGAGATTTAATGGGTTAATATTAATAACATTAATATTATGTTAATATTTTTCTCACTGTTATCCCATTTGACGTTACGATGCGAACTTCAAACAAGGATAGCTCATCGAAAAATAGATATTTTTAAATGTCAAGATTGGAGATTGTTGAGAAGGATAGCTTTCGTACGCATATCATGCAAACACTAGGAAAAATTTTTGTACCCTGATAAAAAACAAAAAAATACCTCAAAAACGGCATTTTTGCTGATTTTACGATGCGACGCGAACTTCAAACAAAGATAACTCATTGAATTAAGTGTGTGTATATAAACTTTGAATCAGTATTGTGTTGAGTATTGATGTATTCATATATACCTTAAAATGGATGACAAAAAGTTAACAGTTGTCACAGAATTACATAAACAAGCTAGAAGAAATTATCCACGTCGTAAAGTACAAATGCGTGGTGTGGATGAAACATGGCAAGCAGATTTGGTTGAAATGATACCATATTCGAAAGTTAACAAAGGATTCAAATATATGCTTACTGTTATAGATATATTTTCCAAGTATGCATGGGCAGTACCTGTAAAAAGTAAAGATGTTACTACAAAGTAAAGTAAGATGTTTCTACTGCTATGAAATCTATACTCAAAGAACTAGAACTAGAAACATCGAACTATTGGTATGAAACCCAAGGATGTCAGGAAACAAGATGAAAAAGAATTATTGAAACGCATCTCAAAACACAGGAAAATTTTAATTAAAAGATCAAAATTCAAAGTTGGCGATAGAGTTGGAATAAGCAAGAATAAACATATTTTTGAAAAAGGATATACACCAAACTGGACAACTGAAATATTTACCAACTCTCAAGTTAAATCAACAAAACCAGTAACATATAAGTTGAAAGATTATCAGGATCAACCCATCGAAGGTGGTTTCTACGAAGAAGAAATTTCTAAAGTGAAATATTCAGATATATATCTCATAGAAAAAGTTCTCAAGAATCGTCGTGATGAAGTCTTTGTAAAATGGTTAGGATTTGATAATTCACATAATAGTTGGATAAAAAATCAGACATGTAATAGTTTATTAACTCTTTTATTAACTTTTTAAAAAGTTGAATTTAACTATTTGAAAAGTTGAAGTCAACTATTTGAAAAGTTGAAGTCAACTATTTGAAAAGTTAAAGTTAATTTGACTGGTATCATTGTTTTCTTATAATACAAAGACTATATTTTTACTATACTTTTTGTATTAAGAAAATATTGATACCAGTCAAATTGAAGTCAACTATTTGAAAGGTTGAATTCAACTATTTGAAAAGTTAAAGTTAATTTGACTGGTATCATTGTTTTCTTATAATGCAAAGACTATACCGTTCATAACTCTCCAACATTCTGTCTCTCATCCTACCCACAGAGTCCAGCGAAAGGTCCCACCATAAATTCTCCATATCATTCTCTAAAAAAAAAACTCTCAAATTCGAAAACCAATTAAAACCTCCCCCAGGATTCTCCAATGCTAGCACCCTGAGTCTGTCAAAACACAACCTGGGATACCTTGAATTATTCATTTGTGAAATTTTAAAAATCCAGTTTAGTGTAAGTGACAAGACCCGATGTGCCACACTAAGTGATCCTGTCTCCAACCTAACAGCGTAATTTGGAGTATTTATAGGTAACAACAAAAGTTTCTTCATAAAAAAGAGTTGTACCCCCTCAAGGCCATCTAAGTGGTTTAAGCCCCAAATCTGGACCCCGAAGAATAAGACGCTTAGAGCCTGGCTATCAAAGAGTCTCTGATAAGTATTCCAAGTATCAGCCCCCAATTTATAAATGGTATTTAAAATTCCACTGACGACAGACTTAGCCGAACTTATTGCCCCATCCGCAGCCGGGGAGAAGGAGCCAGAATTAGCAAATACAATACCCAGATAGCTGTACTGTTTAACCACTTCAATACGTTCATTACTACCGTAATTAAAAGAGGTGAATCTGTTCGCTGAAGCGTTGCCCGATTTTGTAAAAACAACTATCTTAGTTTTAGTAGTATTCACAGTCAAATTATTTTCCTCACAGTAAGAATAAAGGGCCTCTAGCTTCCTAACCAATTCCACAGGGGAGTCCGACAAAAAGACATAATCGTCAGCATATCCCAACATTAATATTTCCTCAGTACTGTTTATTGAAAGACCCCTGCAACCCTTGTCAACAAGATATTTTTCGAAGTCACTGTTAAACAAAAGAAAAAGATAGGGACTGAGAACTTCGCCCTGCAGAACTCCCCGTGTAATTCGAACGAAATCAGTACATCCCTTGTCGTTTTTAACCCATTAAAGCCCATGATTAGACAAATAAAAATATCATCAAAATTATTATTGGAAACAGGACTGCGGATCAAATAATGACTTTTGACGTCAAAAATTGTTTAAAAAATAATTTGTTTATAAAAATTGTTATAAACAAATGAAGAAAATTGATAAAATTTTAAAAACCAATAGCGCCATTCGATTCTACGCGAAAAATTACTAAAGGAACATGTATGACTTTTTAAAAATTTTCACTCGATTTGTTGTATATAATTTATAAACAAATAGTGCACTCTCATGTACCTATTTGAGCCCATCATTACACAACTAAACATTTCATCAAAATTATGATTGGAAACAGGACTGCGGATCAAATAATGACTTTTGACGTCAAAAATTGTTTAAAAAATAATTTGTTTATAAAAATTGTTATAAACAAATGAATAACAGTGACCGTAATTCTAAAGGTTAAATATTTCATAAGAACAAATGCAGGCAGAATTTGTTGATTCATAATTTTTAAAATTTTAAAAATATTCTAGTAGTCTTTTCCCTTAGAATCGAATGGCACTATAAGTTTTAAAAATGTTATCAATTTTTTTCATTTGTTTATAACAATTTTTATAAACAAATTATTTTTTTAACAATTTTTGACGTCAAAAGTCATTATTTGATCCGCAGTTCTGTTTCCAATCATAATTTTGATGAAATGTTTAGTTGTGTAATGATGGGCTCAAATAGGTACATGAGAGTGCACTATTTGTTTATAAATTATTTACAACAAATCGAGTGAAAATTTTTAAAAAGACATACATGTTCCTTTAGTAATTTTTCACGTAGAATCGAATGGCGCTATTATTTTTTAAAATTTTATCAATTTTCTTCATTTGTTTATAACAATTTTTATAAACAAATTATTTTTTAAACAATTTTTGATGTCAAAAGTCATCATTTGATCCGCAGTCCTGTTTCCAATCATAATTTTGATGAAATGTTTAGTTGTGTAATGATGGGCTCAAATAGGTACATGAGTGTGCATTATTATTTGTTTATAAATTATTTACAAAAAACTGAGTGAAAATTTTTAAAATGTCATACATGTTCCTTTAGTAATTTTTCACGTAGAATCGAATGGCGCTATTAGTTTTTAAAATTTTATCAATTTTCTTCATTTGTTTATAACAATTTTTATAAACAAATTATTTTTTAAACAATTTTTGACGTCAAAAGTCATTATTTGATCTGCAGTCCTGTTTCTAATAATAATTTTGATGATATTTTTATTTGTCTAATCATGGGCGTTAATGGTTTAATACAAGTAGTGGCGATTGAGTAAAAATGTTTTAAAATGTTAATAACTTTTGTACTAACTCCTAATTTATGTAATTTCATCCACAGAAGATGATGTGATATGGATGGAAAGGCCCTCTTAAAATCAATAAATAGAGCGTACACTACTGTCCTCGGTCTACTTAGGTGAATTTGAATTATTGACAAAAGTGAAAAGAGGTTATCAATGCAACCTCGACGCCTTCTAAAACCAGACTGCGATTCCGGAATCAAATTCAGTTCATTAGCCCAAACCACAAGCCGGTCACAAATCAGCTGTGTAAAAATTTTTGCCAGACAACTAACCAAAGTGATCGGCCTGTAGTTATCGGTATCATTAATATTTCCCTTCTTAAAAAGCATAAAGCAAGCTAACTTACCCCAGTCTTTCGGGATCACTTCCGTTGTTAAGATTTTATTAAAGAAAACCTCCATGAAAAGAATCCAATTCTGCGGTAAATCTTTATAAAAATCATATGCAATACCATCAATACCAGGGGCCTTACCATTCTTACAACGAAGTAAGCCTTTCGTAATTTCTTCCGTGGAAATGTAACCGTCCAAAAGCGGATGAGAAATGTTAAGAAACTTAGATTCTATTTGTGCATTACATAAAGTTGTAGGATAGGAAGCCAAAAGAAACTCATACCACTGTGGTAAGTCAATAGCAGAACAACGAGGAGTTCTTGATTTGATTGAATTAACAATTCTCCAAAATTGAGATGCATTATTACAACTGGCTAAATTATTAACAATATTTTCACGATAATTTTTCTTTTTATTTTTTATAAGCAATTGCAGTATATTTTTCTCATTTCGGTGTTCGTTTCTAGTCTCCTCAGAAAATTCTCTTTCTCTCGCATGCTTTAACGCCACAGCTACACGATATCTTGCCTCTTTACACTCCCGGTCAAACCAAGGTTTATTATTAACATTAGAATCACAATTAGATGTCCTAATCATACGCAGATTCTCCGCTACCGATGAAATTACAGAGGTTAAGGTAGCATTTAAACCATCCACACTTTGCTCTAAATCTGCCACCTCCCTTCTCATCGACATAGATTGAAAAAATTCATCTGCTTTGTTCACATTAAACCGTAGCCTGCGCATATACTGCGACTCACCACTTTCAGTAGAACGTTGTGGAGTCGCACCACACAAGACCAAATGATCAGAAAGAGAGACTATGGGAAGCACCTGAAAATCACTAAAGAGATGCAAGGCATCAAAAGAACACCAAACATGATCCACAACGCTGAACCCTTGCACCCCCGTAAAAGTAAATTCAGCAGGTGAGTCAGTCAGGGAGCGGCCATTTAAAAGAGCAAAATTCTCAATCTCCATAAAATCAACCAGTTTTCTACCTCTAAAATTAATACAATTATCCAAAGAAGATCTGTCCGCTCTAAAATTAGACATAACAAAGATTTCAGAATTTAACTGATTCATTTCCGCCAATCTACAATTAAAATCACCCCCCATTACTAGTGTCAATTTTGGAAAATTAGCTTTAAAAGAACACAAAGTCAAATTTAAATCATCTAAAAAATTTACAATATTCAACGTAGGGGGTATATAAATTAAACCTAAAATAAAAGAAAACCCATGCGATGACAATTTTACAAACAGATAATTAGGAGTAATTGATAAAACGTCAACTTTATGAATAATATTATTACATGCCAATAAAATACCACCTGTGGCTCTGCCATAAAGGGCGGTTTTAACAGCAGGCGAGACAATTGAGCTGAAACCCAATTTACGACCAAATTTCAATTTGGAATTGACAGACCAAGTCTCCACGAAGCGCACAATGTCAATACTAGACACCCATTCTGTGATATCTGAGAAATTTCTTGCACCATTGCAATTCCAAAAAAATATCTTCGGAGTTGAAACCAAGGACCCCAATGTTGTGTTTGAAGTGTGACTCTTAGATCGTTGCTACAACTTCAGAATTGGATTCTTCAAAAACGACTCACTCTTCTTCATACCAGCACCATCATTACTGAATGTTTGTCCTGAAATCAAAAAAGCGTCCAAAGACCCGTTACTCCCACCTACACCCGGATCAAGTCGCGGAAACTTCTTGGGTCTCGACGACCCCTGCTTAAGATCTTTTTTCTCTCGGACATTGGATGCTGCAGACAAACAATCAGAATTTTTCCTCTGATTAGCTGCGGCATTCTCCGAGACCTTATTAGCAAGTAGGAACTCAATTTCAGCCTCCGACAAAACCTTCTTATTAACGAAGATCCTTGAACCCCTCAAATAAGCTTGATGACCCTTACTACTCAAATCATACTTAGTCTTAGTCTTAGTCCCTTCATTTTTCCGAGACGAAAAGCATTATCAATGGCAATGTCTGGAATATGTAGACCAACACTTATGAATATGTCCAAAATAACATTAATTAACTTGGCATTAGTTGAATCAGAATCCTCTAATTTAAATAAAATCAGATTCTTTGCACGTGATTGTTTATCAAGAATTGATAGGATATTTTTCGTACGAGACACTCTAGAGTCACAATCACAAACTTTACTTGTCAATATATCCAACAATGACTTTGCAGGTTACAACTTAATTTTGAAGGGTGTCAAATGCATGGTTCAAAAATTTTTAAGCGAGTTTCAACTTGTCTTTTTCCAAGACGACAATAGTATTGTTTGAAAATCTTAAAGCATGTTTTAACCTGAATCTTGAATAGAATATAGATATTGTCTGAAAAACCTTTAGACAGGTTTTAACCTGACTGAAGATGAGAATAAAGACATTTTTAAGAAACCTTCAAACAGGTTTTAACTTGATTTAAAGATAGAAAAAAGTTAGAAATGGTTTAAGAAATTATTTTTACTTCTGTGAGTTATAAAATTGGTATTACTGTTTTAAATTTAATTTACTATTAAGTTAATATAATATTGAATAATATGTAAGCTAATTGTATAAGGTTTTATTAAATAAAGTAGACATAAAATTGGCAACAAATTTTTTTGGTTTATTAATAATCTTCATATTTCACTCATCCAATCTTTTACAATATATATAATACTATAATATAAATAAATATAACATCTAATATATAAATACGTAGAATATATGAAACAATAAATATTTAAACATCTAACATCATAATATCATTATTATCACAATCATTTTCACCGTTTTTAATTTTATAATGTCCCCAAGCAAGAGTATCTGTACTGTTTTCTAATAAATATCTTTTATCATCATAAGGACTCAATGCTATTTTTCTTTGTTTCAGTGTATGTACATTGTGTAGTTTTGATCGTATAG